CTGCTATTTTCAGCCTCTGGAGATTTGTCAGTCTTCCCACTCCGCTCTTCTCTGCCAGTAAGTTTTATTGTTTCCTCCACTCTCCTCTTGTCAGTGAATGTCTGAAAGTATTTCACTTGTACAATGCCAGAGTTTTTCATCCCTTCAGGAAAGAGGGTAGCAAGTATGAAGACTCTGCTTTAAAATAAGGCATCCACCTAAGAGATTCAGAGCCCAAAGCACCATTGTGTTGAAACCAAGCTGTATCTTCCAGGTTCTCCCAGAGCAGTATGCTTCCTCCAAAGCCAAACATCACTGCCCTGTCTGTTGACAACATCTTAGAATAAGCACTTTCCAGAATGTATCCAAAGCAGATTCTAAAATGACACGCTAAGAAACCAGATTTCAACAGTTAAAGCGATAACAGAAACACTGTTTTCATCCTTCTGTACTCGGTTAAAACACCCAGGAGAAAACTGGAACCATCCAGGCAGTTTGTCCTATCGGTAACTTATAAAGTTATAAGTATATATTTAAAGTAATATCTTACTTTAAAAGAATAGGACAGATGTCAGTGGGAAATAGCAATGTTCTGAGCAACACAGCTTAAGTATAAGATGGCCATTAAAAAAATAAATCCCAATTCCCACATTAAAACAGCAAAAATCTGAGGATGAAAAACGAAGTTGTTTCCAAACTTACTAATTTTCTTCATGTCAAATTGTACAACCTTGGTGGGGGTCATCTTTTGGGTTACCTGAAAGATATTTATGAAGCAAAAAACTAAATCCCCTCCCTCCAACCCCTGATAGGAACTTGAATTTCTAAGTGCCCTGGATTCAGAAACTTAAGGGCTAAGAGAGAATCTGGAATGTTATTACTGAGATCCCAGGCAAGAGGACCATCCTGGCAGTTTTGTAAGCTTGTTAATCCATGTTTTTGTTTTTTCAAATATGGAAGACAGTGGGGTAGGGCGTGGTGGGGGGGCAAAACACTATTACCTAGAAATTTTCCTTTTGCAAATAGTTTGACTTGGTAGAAATAAACTTGCTTGCCTGCTCTTAAGAAATGCCCGACTATTGTAAGCAAATGCAGAGGGCATAGTGCCCAGAGACACGCTTAGTACAACTGTGAATGTTCCCCTAACCCAAAGCGTAGCAGGTCTTATATTTAGATGACAGGATGCTATGGAGGCCCATTCCCTGCCAGTGTAATTGCTTTGTGGAAGACCAATTCCAACAGAAATGAACTTACTTGCCATGATTTCTCCTCTGATCTTAGGCCTTTCACACTTGAAATGCACAGAAAATACACATGTTTTAATGGAATTCACTATTTTTGACTTTCGTGTCAAAGAGATTGGTTCCAGAAGGCTCACCTGATTCCCTGTAATAATTGTTTTATAATCCCCTGTGATTCTAAATCCAATCCCAGCTATAGGTTCTGAGCATAAAATCAAAATCAAAGATAAAGGGGAACTGATAGACAGGGGTTTTGGTTATTTCAGATTCATGACCACAAAGTGGCCAAAAGCATGAAACTCCCTCTTGCTTGATGACCATTTCACCACATGAAGTGTCTGTTGCCCCACGCCATCCCGCGAACCACTTTCACTGTGGACCAGTGGCCATTTTCCTTCGGCACTGAGATTTCTTACTGAAACAGCTTTACTGGTCAGAGGCCTATGGGTTTTATGTCTCCTTATGCTGAACATACTAAAGCAGACGGCCTGCTGCAGTAGCAGGAGTCCGGCAGGGATTGGTGGCGGTGTGAGTTCTGCTGACTTCATGGCATGGTTTCTTGCTGTTTCCCTCGGTTCGGTCTGGTGGGTGCCCTGAAAGATCGGACCTCTCTGAAGTCATAGCCATACAACCACATAGGGTTAGGAAAAGCCATATAAACGCAAGAGAATCAGGTCAAGTTGTCACAGTCCCGGGAACAGCCCTCACTTCTTCGCGGAGCGCAAGCACGCAGGAAGTGAAGACAAAATGTACAGACGGCTCCCGGCCCTGGCGTGGGCCGCACGCGGCGAGTGGTGGCTGAAACGGGCTTTCAGGGCTGCTCCCGCCGCTTCCTTAGGAGGTGAGGGCGGGGTGGTGTGGTGGGCACGGGCAGCCCTCAGCCCCCACCGGAAGCCTCATTTCGAGCAGGGCACTCTGGTTTACAGTTTCCTTTCAGTGCCAATGCTGTCAGGTTAAAGCACCTGTAATCTTCTGTTGTTATTTTAAGATAATATTTGTGAAGCAGATTAAAGAAGCACTGGAAATAGCGTGCCTCTCATAAAAAGCTCAAGTGTAAGGCACGCAAGCAAAGCCTTTGATGAGTTTGTCTGGCTTTGTAAAACAAGTCTGAAAATGAATGAGATGGATATCTAGGTGGGTACCTGTCTTGTCTTTTACCGTTTTTAATTCGGATCTGTATTTAGCACTTATTTGTTAGTTTTACATTCAGAAGAAACACACTTTGGCTAACATTGTAGGATGTTTTTAAACTGTTTTCTACTTTTTCGAAACATAATGTCATCGTTTTTGTAAGCGTAGATCATTTTTGAATAGCCCCTTTTTCCTTTCCAATAGACCAATTACTGCTCATAGGTCGGTGGGACTTTTTTTTTAACTGTATTCTTGTAATAAATGTAAAATATTTGTAGCAAACTGTGCCTTGTCTTGTTTAATCTTTCCATCGTGTTTATGTTTCTCTTCCTACTCCATATAAATATTCTCTAAGCAGAAGAACAGGGAGGAGAGATTTCCATGGTAACCGGCCTCCTAGGGATGAATAGCGCCTAAGAAATTACCAGCTTTCAGTTTCTCTGTGATGAAGCTTCTGCCTTCCGATGACAATGGGCGTGTGTTGCTTCCAGTCCCATCACTGCTTCCTCTGTTTAGAAATCGAAACTGAATTGTAGTTCAAGTCCCATTTCTCTGTGCAGAGTGGCTGTTTGCCAGGGTTTCTGTGGCTGTTGCTTCGTAGCAGGAGTTGTTTAGACATAACAAGAGGATTCGGGGAGAAAGGTGGCGGAGAGGGATGTTGGGAAGAGTATCTGCAAGCCGCTGCTGCATGGCCGTTACCGGCGTGCACCCTTGACGGCTCGCGTTCGGGGCTGAGTGGGTCACGGAGCCAAGATGCTGGGCTTCTGTTTACCCTTCAGTCGGCAAATCGATAAACTTTCTAAAACGCAGGCTGTGGTATTTACACGGGTTCCCCTGCGTTACACCAGGTCCTGCCCCCTCCTCGGTCTTGCACTAGGAAGGGTGAGCACAGCCCTCTCAGAAACCATGTTTCCCGTTGTGGGGCGGGCAGCCGCCCCAGCTTCTTAGGCCGACGGAGGCCACACGCCCGCTCTGAGCCTCCTGCGCTGCCACTCCGCGTGTTTGTGGCCCCTGGGGAAGCCTTTCCCTGCAGCTCCTGACCTATCTGCGATGGCGTTCTCATCTCCGGGGGTTTGACTTCTGACGCAACATCCGCCAACCCTGTGCCGTCACTGACTTCAGTTGAGTAGGACCGGCTGATCCATCACCAGGGGATGTCGGCTGTAGGACGGGAGTCCCGCTCCCAGTTCAGATGGACAGCGTCTCTGAATTCCCTGCACTTCTTAATGCCCTACCCTTCACCGTACCTCCCCCTCTGGATAACGGTTTCTTCGGATGGTGGTAATGTGTCAGAAAACATGGAGGGAAGAATTCGTTTCTGTTAATTAAAAGCATCAGTGGTGGTTCCTTCCGTGAGAAGCTGAGTAGTTTTTTTAATTCCCCAAATCTTCGACAATCAGACTGACCAACACACTCAGGCCCAACTCGCGAATAGACCTCAACCAGGCTGCTGCTGCTCCTGCAAAGGCATCTGGAGTCCAGGCAGACGGCAGGCGGAGGCTGGGAAGCCTCTGTTCCCATCCCTGGTTGGATTCTCACTAGTTTGCGAACTTGAACAAACCGCCTCACTATGTAGACCACAGTCGTCTCACTTATAAAACATGTTGGACTAAATTATCACCTAGTGTTAACCTGTTTTTTAATTAGGCTTCTCTGAAGGCATCCGGATTCCCTCTTCAGTTTCTGGTGTGGCCCCACTGTGGAAGCCGCAGGGCTGACCCGTAATCCTTCTTTATTAACCCAGCTGGGGCCTTTCTCCTAGGCTGAGTCTTGAAGGACAGGAGGCGCTGCTGCAGGGCACTGCTCCTGGGGAACCTTGCTTCTGGCAAACTCTGAGGAGCTTCTAGGAAACTCCCCAGAGCGCCCTGGTTTCCTCCCATTCCCAAGCGCATTCTCTACCCTCCTGCTGACCTTGAGGCCTCAGGATGGCCTTCTAGCTCATTCCCTCTCGCGAAGCTCCCCAGAGGGCACCTCTGTGGCCTGCAGCCCCGGATCCTGGCTGATAGAATGAATCTCTACAGTGAGGCCCTTCCGGCTTTGAGAGCTTGTGATCTGCCAGGTCTTCACGGGGTCGCTGTGGAGTCCCAGGCCAAGTCTGCTCTCTTGCTTTTATAGAGAGGCTGTCAGAATTCAGGAGTGATGAGAGGAAGGGGGATTCCCTGAAGGTTCAGCCATCTAATGCACTGATTATCCAAACTGAGCCTTTTAACGTCTCCCCAGCCCTGGACATAGGTAATTTGAAATTATAAATGTTTCTTTAGCAGTCTCCCTGCGGTGACAGAGGCACCATAGGATAGTTAAGTGATAAGGTCAATGGACTAGAACACTGTGAGAGGCTAATTGATCTATCACAGCAATATAAATGCCCGGAATTAATAGAAAAATAAATGTCACTGGGAGCTGAGATATTGACAGCTTCAGAGGCTATTCTCCCGTGGCCTTGTCCCACCTTCCATTTGGGCTGGGCCTTGTTTGGAGTGCAGAGGGTCTTTCCCCCTCCTGAAAACACATCCAGCCGCCTGGGTAGAAGTCAATGAGTAATTGAAGCCTGCTGGGTCTTTAATCCCAAGTTAACTTTCCAGGCAGCCCCCGAAAGCCTTCCCCCTGCCTGCAGGCCCCTCTCTTCCCGGCCAAACGTCAGGGGAAAGTATGACAGGGAAACAGCACAGCAGGACTCGGAGGAACACCCCGAGGGTGAGCGTGCCTCGGAAAGGGCCAGAGTGGGGGAAAGCGGAGGGTTTGCTCACGCGCCCCTCACTGGAGCGCCTGGTGCAGCAGCCGTCTCCCAGAATCCGGGTTCTCTCCCTCCCAGAACCGCACGTGAGGAGTCTTCCAGGGAGTGCCGGTCAGAGACGGGAGCATCTCACCTGCTGTGTCTGAATTGCTGCCTTTAATCTCGATCAAATCAGGGGATAGGCGGCCGTCTGCCCAGCCAGGTTCACTCCTAAATTTCTTTTTATACCAAGTCCCAGTCTGTCTCCTGCATTGCTCTCATGGTTATGGAAGCTTAGAAATTCAAGACCAGCAAATTCACAAAAGCATCCACGCTCCCTTTGCTTCACGTCTCTCCCAGATTCCCTGCTCTCCCCGCTCCTGCCCATCCCGTCGCTTGGTTTCAAGTCAGTCCTGCATCAGATACTGTCACAGTTTACCCCAAAGCAGACATTCCGTGTCCTCTACAAGGTTACACATAAAGTAAGAGAGGAAAATTATAAATCTTAAAAGTCCAATTATAACGAGCAGAGAAAGAAAGGAAGGCAAATATCTAAATTCATTAATAGAAGAAACCGACAAGGACTTAATCTCCAAAATACACAAACAGCTCATGCAGCTCTCTTGTCAAACAAGCAACAACCCCAATCAAAAACTGGGCAGAGAATCTAACACAACACTGCAAGTCAACTATACTCCAATAATTTTTGTAAATGGGCAGAAAATCTAGATAGGCATTTATCCAAAAAAGACAGATGGCCAAAAATCACGTGAAAAGATGCTCAACATGACGCAGAGAAATGGAAATCAAAACTACAATGAGGTATAGTCTGATGTCAGTACAGTCAACAAAACAGTACGATACCAGCACAGAAATAGAAATATCGATCAATGAAACAGGATAGAAAACCAGAAATAAATCCATGCACTTACAGCCAATTAATCTGACAAAGGAGGCCAGAGTACACGGTCTTGGAAAGATAGTCTCTTCAACAAATGGTGCTGGGAAAACTGACAGTTGCATATAAAAAAAAAATGAAGTTAGATCATTTGTTAATACTGTGCACAAAAATAAGCTCAAAATGGATTAAAGACCTAAATGTGAGACCGGACACTGTAAACCTTTCCCCCAGAGGAAAGCCTAGGCAGAGCACTCTGACATAAATCTCAGCAATATCTTTTTCAATCTATGCATAGGTTCCTTAAAAAACTACACACACACATAAATACACATACACTGTATATATATATAGTATATAGGTTCCTTAAAAAACTAAATATAGGGCTACCATATGGCCCTACAATCCCACTCCTGGGTATATCTGGAGAAAAATATGATCCAAACAGGTACAAGCATCCCAGGGTTCATTGCAGCTCTGTTTACAATAGCCAAGACATGGAGGCAACCTAAACATCCATCTATAGAGGAATGGATAGAGAAGGTGTGGTGTGTATATATATAACAGAATATTACTCGGCCATTAAAAAAGAATGAAATAACTCCATTTGCAGCAATGTGGATGGACCTGGAGAATGTCATACTCAGAGAAGGAGAAATATCATGACATCCCTCATATGTGGAGTCTGCAAAAATACGATACAGATGAACTTACTTACAAAACAGAAAGAGACTCACAGACTTAGAAAATGAACTTACAGCTGATGGAGGGAAGGGACAGTGGGGGAGTTGGGGATGGACATGTACACACTGCTATATTTAAAATGGACAACCAACAAGGGCCTCCCGTATAACACGGGGAGCTCTGCTCTGTTACGTGGCGGCCTGGATGGGAGGGGAATGTGGAGGAGAATAGATGCACGTGTACGTGTGGCTGAGTCCCTTCACTCTTCACCTGAAACTCTCACAATATTGTTAACCTACTGTACCCCAGTACAAAATAAAAAGTTTACAAAAACAAGAGACTTCCTCTCCTTATCAAACTCTTACGAATGTATTATTAAGGTTGACACTGGGGTGAGCTAAGACTACATTCCCACTCTCCCTTGTGGCTACAAACCCTTGCTAATAATTCATGGGCATTTAATCAAGGAGATAGAATCAAAAGGTTATTTGGAGGAATTTCCAAGAAGTTTTTAAGATGGGGGTAGATAGCTGAGGAAAGCCACTTTTTATGCTTTTTCTCAGTTTCCCTTCCAGCTGCCTGTGATGTGGATTAAAAAGGTACAGGCCCAGGAGCGATCGTGAATTAAATGGTGACGATGGCCGGTGAGGAGGATGGAAGCGGAGAAAGACAGAGGGACGCCACCTCCCGCCTCCCCGTGCAGGCCTGCCACGAGACCTCGGGGCGGCTTCTCCATCCTGCGGCGGCCAGTCTGCCTCCCTGTTTTGACGTTGGACAGTTCGAAGCTTTTAAGCCTCACCTCCTCCACTTCCCCATGTGTCCACATCGAGACAAGCTGATAAGACAACCTGGGTGCTCCCACCTTTGACCCCGGCTGGAGATTCAAACCACACCCGCCTCTGTCTGCAGGAGAATCATCCCTCTGGTTCCACCCTCCAACCCTCACAGAGACTGTGAATGCGCACTCTCACGCCATTTCAGGCCTGCTGGAAACACCTCCCTTCATCTCCCAGGGAACTCAATTACATTAATAAGAAAACTTTCCATGCCCTCAGAAAACAACAACAAAAACTACAATGAGGTATCAACTCACAGCATTCAGAATGGCCATTATCAAAACGTCTACAAACAAACGCTACAGAGGATGAGGAGAAAAGGGAACCCTTCTACACGGTTTCTGGATATGTAGATTGATACAGCCACCACGGAGAACAGTATGGAAGTTCCTTAAAAAATCTAAAATGATAACTGCCACATGATCCAGTGATTCCACTCTGGGCATATATCCAGACAAAACCATAATCAGAAAAGGCTCATGCACCCCAATGTCCACGGCAGCACTATTTACAACAGCAAGACATGGAAGCAACCTAAGTGTCCATCAGCAGAGAAATGGATGAAGATGTGGGACATATATATATACATATAATGGAACACATACGCAGTGAAATACACAGCCATAGGAAAGAATAAAATGATGCTATTTATAGCAACAAGGATAGACTAAGAGATTAGCATATTAAGTGATGTCAGACAGAGAAAGACAAATATCATATGACATCATTCATATGTGGAATCTAATTTTAAAAAATGATACGAATGAACTTATTTACAAAATAGAAGCAGAGTTACTGATATCAAAAACAAACTTGTGGTTTTACCAAAACAGAAATGGGATGGGGAGGGATAAATCAGGAGCCTGAGATTAACAAACGAACATCATTATATATAAGATAGCCAACAAGGACCTATTGCATAGCACAAGAAACTCTACTCAATATTCTGTGATAGCCTATATGAAAAACCAATCTGAAAAAGAATGAATATATGTATATGTGTAACTGAATCACTTTGCTGAACACCTGAAATTCATGTTAGGCAGGAAGTTAGCCATAAGCAAGAAGAGGCCGTCCCATCAGCTAAACGTCCAACAGCCACTTAAACCCACCAAGGTGTTTGCCAATCCCACCCCAAACAGGCCCCCAGTGTTCCAGAATGGTCAGGGGACTGGACAAATCCCCTCTGGCTGAATGGAGGGCTTTTCCCCACTCTGGCACATAAGCCCATCTATCTACCATATACTTAGATAACCTTTGGCGGCCACTGGTTCATTAATGTTTGTACATACTCTATAATGCAGATATATAATTATAACACACTGAATTATGGGAAGGACATGCACAGTGGAGCCTCTTCCTATATAACCTGCCGCTGTCAATTAAGACTGTCAATCAAAGACCTCCTGGATGATGCAAAAAACTTGGCCTTAAAAATTCTACACCCCAGCCTTCCAGGACCTTGGTCCAGCCTTCCTTGGTCTGGCCCACCTCTCTCTTGAGGTCTTCTCTCTGTTTGCTTTTTCCTTGTCTTCGATAAACTCTTTTGCAACAAGTAAGCCCTCAGATTCTTCTTTGCATCCTTACCAGGACCCCAGGTCCACAGGAGGGGCCTCCAGACTCTACACTGCTAACATTCTGCTGCCGTGACTCAGATCTTTGTAAGAAAGGGACATTCCCTCTCAGTTTGTGCCGGCGCAAAAGACTACTCATTTCTCAACTCCTCTTTTCTCTTTCAATTCTCTGTCAGTCAGAACAGACTCTTGTTCCCAAACTCCAACCCATCTGAGTTGGGTCCACCCCTGAGCCCACCTCTCGGGACCAGTGTCAGAGACTGAGACAAGTGCCCGCTTTCCTACCAGGATGAGGAACAGCCCAGACCCAGACTGGCCTCCAGGAGTTCCAGACAGTCTCAGTTGGGTCCAAGCAGGAGACGTCCTCCCCAAGTCCCAGGTAGTCCCAGCCCACAGGCCAGACCACCAGTTATGACCCGGGGACACCAGGCTCTTTGACCGCTTCTCCAGATGGGAAACCAACCACCTGTCCATGAGGGGACACCCTTGAGATGCATCCTCCAAAAGCTGGTCAAGATTCAACCCCACCAAGCCACCGAAGAGGAGACTCACTTTCTTTTGTAATGCAATCTGGCCCCAGTATCGCCTTTTGCATGGGGACTCCTGGCCCCTAAATGGGACCATTAATTATAACACCATTCTCCAGTTAGACCTGTTTTGCAAACCTCAGGGCAGATGGTCTGATACTTCATGTACAACTTTTCTTCCTCCTGTGGGATAGCTGAGGCTTTCTCACAACCTATAAACTTCCCGCCATTGCCACCCTGCTACCGAAGGAAAATCCCTGGATTTCACCAGCCACGTCACCGTCTAGCTCTGCCCCACCACCTTACATGGGACCTCCACCACCCCCATCGGCGCAAGCCTGTCCCTTGGTGGAAGCGCTAGGAGGTGAATTTGGGTTACAGTTAAGTCCATAAGCCCTTCTCATTGGTAGAACTAAAACAGATCAAAGGTAGCTTTTCAGATAATCTCGTTAAATATACCAAGGGATTTCAATACTTTTCTCAGTTCAGTTCAGTCGATTAGTCATGTCTGACTCTTTGTGACCCCATGAACTGCAGCACGCCAGGCCTCCCTGTCTATCACCAACTCCTGGAGTTCACCCAAACCCATGTCCATCGAGTCGGTGATGCCATCCAACCATCTCATCCTCTGTCATCCCCTTCTTCTCCTGCCCCCAATCCCTCCCAGCATCAGGGTTTTTTCCAATGAGTCAACTCTTCGCATGAGGTGGCCAAAGGATTGTAGTTTCAGCTTCAGCATCAGTCCTTCCAATGAACACCCAGGACTGATCTCCTTTAGGATGGACTGGTTGGATCTCCTTGCAGTCCAGGGGACTCTCAAGAGTCTTCTCCAACACCACAGTTCAAAAGCATCAATTCTTTGGCACTCAGCTTTCTTCACAGTCCAAATTTCACATCCATACATGACCACTGGAAAAACCATAGCCTTGACCAGACAGACCTTTGTTGACAAAGTAATATCTCTGCTTTTTAATATTCTGTCTAGGTTGGTCATAACTTTCCTTCCAAGGAGTAAGCGTCTTTTAATTTCATGGCTGCAATCACCATCTGCAGTGATTTTGGAGCCCAGAAAAATAAAGTCAGCCACTGTTTTCACTGTTTCCCCATCTATTTGCCATGACGTGATGGGACCAGATGCCATGATCTTAGTTTCCTGAAGGTTGAGTGTTAAGCCAACTTTTTCACTCTCCTCTTTCACTTCCATCAAGAGGCTCTTTAGTTCTTCACTTTTCTATGGTTTATAAAATGACCCAGAGAGACATCACTAAAATTCGAAACCAGACCCTCTTCAATACTGACACAGTTAACAGTCAAAAAAATAAATAAATAAAATTGCTGATGGAGTCCACCTTTCTGATACTGAATAACCCCACCAGGAAAACGGCGTTCCCCAGTACCAATCCTAGGTGGGGCTACAATCAGAAAGAACATCAACGGGAAAGAACTCATTGTTTCATCTGTATCAAAGGTGGCCTTAAGGTAGCCCAACATAAAGCAAAAAACTACTCCCAAGTCACAGCAATCAGCCAGGAGGCTGGGGAATTCCAAGAGCTTTTCTTAACAGGCTGAGGGAAGCATTATTAGATACACCAATCGGGATCTGGATGCTTACGAGGGGCAAGTGATAAATTAAAGATACATTTTTAACCGAGTCAGCACCTGGCACAAATTAGGACCCAGTTAGGACACAAATTACAAAGCTAATTCAAGAACCTAGTGTCACCCTAGATGAAAAGCCTCCCGGGTCTTTTATCACCGAAGGCTGAGGCCAAGACCCCGGAGGAGGAAAGAAGGCAGGAATTCAGCCATGCCCCAATGATGGCTGCTGTCCAATGCCAGGTGCCCCCAAGAGCACCCCGAGCCACAGTCCAAAACAGACAAATGCCACGCCTATTGGCCACAGCAGTGCCCCGATCAGGATAAACCGACTAAGACTGCTTGTGACAAAGGCCACCAATCAAGGCGCTGGGCAGCCCGCTGCCCCTCAATCCGAAGGGACCGAGGGCCGGAGGCCGCTCTACAGATGACTGAAGCCTGAAGAGGCCCCATCCAGTCGGCTCTCAGACAACAGATGGACATCACTGGGCCGGAGCTGAGAGTCCAAATGGATGTGGTGGGTGAGTCGTCTGTCTTCTTACTTCGTGCTACGGCTACCCATTCTATCTTGACTTCCTTCTCCGAATCCTTCTCCAAACAGACCTGTACCAGCATGGAAGCCTCAGGCAAGCCATTCAGCAGGCCTGCATCACACCCGTCTCTTCTGTGTCTCAGAGGGATTTGCATTCTCCCCCAGTTTTTGGCATATGCCCACTCTTGGAGGGTGCTACTACAAAAATGGAATGCCATTCTTTCTCTCTCCCTTGGAGAGTCACATGGACCTCACCCAGGGGGCAACCTCTGGGAAACTTGAGGAGCTCTCCTAACTAATGAAGATATGAAAAATCTCTCAGGCCAGACTGCTTACAACAAGTCAACCCAGGGGTCTGGAACAAAGAGGTCCCAAGAAAAGCCAAAAATGCAATGCCAGTCACAATAGCTCTAAAGGACTCACATAAATTTCCCTGAAAAATACATCCCTTTAGGCCTGAAGACCCCTGCCCATTATATCGAAACTCCTGTCCTACCAACTCCTTGTTCCCACAAATTCACCTTGCAATGCGCGTACTAGCAAGCCAAGAAAAAGGATGACATTTACTGTCTCAACCAGGATTTACGAATCATTAATGAGGCAATAATTCCCCTACACCTGATGGTCCCCAATCTTTGCATACTTTTGTGAAAAGTACCCCCAGACAGCAGCTGGTTCTCAGTTCTAGATTTAAAAGATGCTTTCTTCTGCATCCCACCCCAGAATCACAATTCTTGTTCACGTTTGAATGGGAATCTCCACTACAGGCCCTTTAACAAGAGACATGAACTTTTCTATCCTAGGGCTTTAGGGATACCTCCACCTTTTTGGATAGGTGCTAGCCCAAGATTTATAAGATTTAACACTTGAGGGGGGACCTTTCATATAGTATGCAGATGACCTCTTGATTTGCTCCCCTATTCAACACCAACATATTCAACATGCCACTCAGGTCGTTAAATTTCCTGGCTAGCTGGGGTTACAGGGTGTCCAAATCTAAGGCTCAGATAGTGTAACAACAAGTTTCCTAACTAGGAAAAATAAGGATCCCTGGCAGGAGTAGCCTTTCAGCAGACCATATAAGGACTGTATCCAACCTACAGACTCCCACCACCCACCCAGAAGCAGCTACATGCATTCCTGGGCATAAAGTAGCCCAGTACTGTAGGAATTAGACACTAAATTACAGTCTCATTTCACAGCTTTTGAACAAAGCCCTACAAGGCAAAGGTGATCAAATACTCCTTGAGTGGGGGCTAGTCTGACAGCAGGTCATGGAAACATTAAAAAATCTCCTTTGCAGAGCTCCCAGCATTAGAGCTAGCCATTCCAAATTTACACCCACAAAACAGAGGCTGTTGAGGTAAGGGTCCTCACCCAAAAGCTAGGAGAAATTCCACAGCCAGTAGCCTAACTTTGCAAACAGCTCGATCCCACTGCCAAGGGCTGGCTCCTGACTTAGGGCCCTGGCAGCGCTATTCCTCCCAACGGAGAAGGGGCTTAAATTCATCCTGACAGCACCCACTCTGGTTCTAACTGCCCATCGTGGACCAGATTTACTTAGTGACCAGGCCTTAGCCTGGCTTTTAGCAATAGGGTCCCCAGATATCAAACCCTTGACTGTTTGCAAGACTCTAGACCCAGCAAACCTGCTGCCCATACCAGAGGAGGAAAGTCACAGCCATAGTTGTTCCGAGGTCTTGCCAGTTCCCTTAACTGCCAGCCCCGGAACTTTGGGGTCAGACTGTGGCCAGTGCCGACAAGGGTCAGTTTGCCAGTGGAAGCTGTTACCCAGCAGAGGGAAAACGCAAGGCTGGACACACCATCGCGTTCCCCACGAGATCACTGATGCCTGAGCTCAGCCTTGGGGCTCATCCAAACGACTTACCGAGCCCACTGCGCCGAGCCCTGGAACCGGCTGAAGGAGAAAGGCTCACAGTTTACACTGGTTCTAAATATGCTGCTTCACCCTAAGTGCCCACGCAGCCATCTGGAGAGAAAGAGGACATCCGGCCTCCAGAGAACAACCCCACTGAAGACGGCCCTCAGGCTGGCCACGCACTCTGGGCCATCCACCTGCGTGCAGAGGGCGCCATTGCTCACTGCAAAGGCCGTCGGTGAGGCTCATCGGACATTACAGAGGGAGACCAGTTGGTGGACCAAGCTAAGCAGTCTGCCTCTAAAGAAGCCCCAGGACAGGGGCTCCATCCCTGCCCCACGTCGCCTCCTCCACCTACCTCTATGGAGGAAGAAAGCGCATGGCAGCCCAGAAGGGTTTCCCTCTGCACTCATCCAGATGGTCCAGCTCTGAGGGACTCTTCTTGTTCCCAAAGACCCCAGTGGCAGCTAACCAAGGCCTGCCATGGATTCACACATCTGGGAAGAGGTGCCCTCTCTGCCTCAGTATCTAGAGTCCTAAAAGACAACGGACTTGAGTAACCCAGCAGTGTCCAGCTCTTGTCCGACTGTCCCTACAATAACCCAGGGAAAGAATGTCCCTCCTTGGTCCGACCCATCCAACGACACGGGACTTACCCTGGGGAAGACCGGAAGATGGTCACCCCAACGCCTCTTTCCCAGGACTACAAATACTTACTGCCTTTGTAGACACCTGCACAGGATGGCTAGAGGCCTACCCAACAGACAGAAAAAAAGCCCTACAAGTTAACAATAAAGAAGTCACTCCCTGGTTTGGCCTTCCCTGCTCCCATCAAAGTGATATTGGGTCCTCATTATTTCCACTATAACTCAACCCATTGCCAAAGCCCTCAGCATAAGGCTGGCTTGCTTTGCATTGCTCCTGGAGGCCCCAGTCCTCAGAAAAGATAGAAAGTGCCAATCAATTCCTTAAAAACATCCTCAGAAAATTAACTCAGGGAACGTCTCTAAATTGAGTAACCCTCTGACCTATTGCCCTCCTCCACAGCAGAATAACTCCAAAGGATGCCCCCGGACTGAGTCCATATGAAGGCTTATACAGATGTCCTTCCCTAACACCAACCTCCTTCTGGAAGGGAAACGCTAGGGATACAATCTCATGGAACCAAACCCTCCATGTTCCAACAGACCTGCAGGCAATTTGGCCTAAAACCTCACTCTCCTAGCCCTCAGTCACCCATACTATATCAACCTGGGGAAAAGTCCTTTAGAACCTGGACAGATGGGTCTCCAAGTTCCCAACTGGACCCTATTTGGAAGGGGCCTCTTTCAGACCTTCTTTCCTCACCTACAGCCATCAAGGTTCCAGGAATCTTTAACTGGATTCACCATTCCAGGGTGAAGCCTTGGAAACTGCCCTCTGAAGGCTCAGGCACTCACGCATCCCATACCCATGAGACACTTGAAGACCTCATTTCCTTTGCAAAATGACCAAAGATAAGAACCAGTGTTGTTGTGGCTGTTGTTCAGTTGCTAAGTCATGTCTAACCTTGCAACCCCATAGACTGCAGCGTGCTAGGATCTTCTGTCCTCCACTATCTCCTGGAGTTTGCTCAAATTCACATCCCTTGAGTCAGTGATGCCAATCAACCATCTCAGTAACAATGCTTTAAGTGCATGGCCAACTCCCCATGTAATGGTCTTGCTCTCTTGATTGTCCTTCCTCTTCTGAACCTGTGTCCTCCTGTGGATGATCCTACTGCATGCTTATGGTACCCAAACTTAGTTGTCCTCCTTTCCGAGGCCTACACTAGGCATCAGTCTCAACTCCATGTCACCCAAACTCACTCAAACACTCATCTTACACCTCCTCTGGTCCATCATACAACCTACACTCTCTCAACATCTCTTAGACCCAAAGGACTATTTAATGACTCTGGCTCCTGCCCACACCTCTCCTCCTAATGGCTGTGTATCTCTGGCTCTAGCCTCCAGACAGTGTTACCTTTGCCAATAGAAACTTGGCCCAATGTCTCAGCTTATGCAGATGCTCAACCCAGTCCCAGAGCCACAAGTTTTAGGTCAGATCATATAGACTATATCTTTCTTCAAGTCTTATGAGAACACCTAAATCTCATTCCTATCAATCTATCAACACCACAACCCAAACATGTCCTAACACCTTACCAAGGCTCTCATATACCCTCTCTGCTTTCAAGGGAGACACCCACAGGGGTTCCCTGTCAGTAACATGGCCGGCCACACATTGCAACCACACTTTCACCCTCATGCTTCCTTGATAAGTGAGCAACATTGGAACACAAACAGGCTATCCAAGGAGCAGTTGAGCAATAGATAAAAAACGCCTAGCCCTTCCACATACCACAACTCTTTGGTAACTAACTGTAAGGACAGAAACTATAAAGCTCTTAGAAGAAAACATACACAGCACATTCTTAACATTCTTAGACATAAGTCATGGCAAGACTCTCTATGCCCTACCTCCTGTGTGAAAGCCACTCAGTTGTGTCCGACTCTTTGTGACCCCATGGACTGTAGCCGGCCAGGCTCTTCTGTCCATGGAATTCTCCAGGCCAGAATTCTGGAATGGGTTCCCTCTCCCTTCTCCAGGGGAATCTTCCCAACCCAGGGGTCAAACCCAGGTCTCCCGCATTGGGGGAGGATTCTTTACTGTCTTAGTCACCAGGGAAGCCCTACCTCCTACAGTAATGGAGATAAAAACAAAAACAAACAAATGGAACCTAATTAAACTTAAAAGCTCTTGCACAGTAAAAGAAACTATAAACAAGATGAAAAGACAACCCTCAAAATGGGAGAAGATAATTGCAAATGAAGTAATTGACAAAGGATTAATCCCCAAAATATATAAGCAGCTGATACAGCTCAATATCAGAACAACAAACAACCCAATTAAAAACTGGGCAGAAGACCTTAATAGACTTTTCTCCAAAAAAGACATAGAGATGGCCAATCAACACATGAAACGATGCTCAACATTGTTCAGTATTGCTGCTGTCGTTCAGTCACTAAGTCAAAGGACTTAGTCTTAGTCATTAAGACTCTTTGTGACCCCACTGACTGCAGCATGCTAGTCCTCCCCTGCTCATTATTAGACGAATGCAAATCAAAATTATAATAAGGTATCACTTTATAACCAGTCAGAATGGCCATCATCGAAACTCTACAAACAATAAACGCTTGAGAGGATGTGGAGAAAAGGGAACCCTCCTGCACTGTTGGTGGGAATGTAAGTTTACAGAGCCGCTATGGAGAACAGTGTAGAGAGTCCTTAAAAAAAAAAAAAAAAAGAAAAAGAAATAAATCTACCGTATAACCCAGCAATCCCACTACTGGGCATATACCTTGAGAAAAACACAGTTCTAAAAGACACATGTAATCCCAATGTTCATTGTAGCACTATTTACAATAGCCAGGACATGGAAGCAAACCTAGAAGTCCATCAACGGATGAATGGATAAAGAAGATATGGTACATATAGACAATGGATATTACTCAGCCATAGAAAGGAAGAGATTGAGTCAGTGATAATGAGATGGATGAACTCAGAGTGAAGTCAGAAAAAGAAAAACAAATATTGTATATTAACATATATAAAGTGAAAGTGAAAGTCGCTCAATCGTGTCCAACTCTTTGTGACCCCATAGACTATACAGTCTATGGAAATCTCCAGGCCAGAATACTGGAGTGGGTAGCCTATCCCTTCTCCAGCAGATCTTCTGGACCCAGAAATCGAACTGGGATCTCCTGCGTTGCAGGCGGATTCTTTACCAACTGAGCTATCAGGCAAGCTCACATATATGGAATTCAGAAAAATGGTGCTGGTGAACCTATGTTCAGGGAAGGAATGGAGATACAGATGTAGAGAAGAGACGTGTGGACACAGTGGGGGAAGAAGAGGGTGGGACACATTGGGAGGGGAGCATTGGCATGCATACGCTACCGCGGGTAAACCAGATGGCTAGCGGGAGGCTGCTGTGTGAGGTGGGGGTTCAGCTTGGTGCTGTGTTACGAGTTAGAGGGGGGCAGGGAGGGGGGGAGGAGATAAATACATATTTAATTATAACTGATCCACATTGTTATATGGCAGAAACCAACAAAATATTATAAAGCAATTTTCCTCCGATTAAAAAATAATTAAAAAAAAAAGATAAAATACAGGTGCCAAATAAGCCCCTCTTTACCACAGACACCGTTAGTACTTTCATCTCCATAGGATGGGCCTCATTAAACACCTCTGGTCACCCCTCACCTCACACACAACTACTGGTCTGGAGGCAACAAACCCACTTTTCAAAATTCTATCCCACTTCCAGCATCCACGCGGGCAAATTCCCTGTCTGTTCCCTGCAGAGGTCAGCTGGGAGTCACACCACCAGTAACATAGATCCCCCAACTACACTCTACTCCTACTCATATGGAACCAACTCTTCCCGTCTCAAGGCCTCTTTCTCAACTGTGGGACCTCAGCCTACAGGCACCTGCCCCCGAGGCGGGAAGGAAAATGCTCCTTGGGTTACATCATGCCAAGTGCTACCTGGGTCAGCGACCCTCCCCAGTGCCTCATAAAGTAGTCCACCTCCCAACTAGGACACGGCAGACATCAGTGGAACCTAACTTCATTCCCCTCATTGCTCTCCTAACAGGCATCACCGGAATGCCAACAGAGAGTATCAATTCATGTGTGCTCGCTCAGTCACGTCTGACTCTTTGTGACCCTGTGGACTGTAGCGCTCCAGGCTCCTCCGTCCATGGGATTCTCCAGGCAACAATAGTGGAATGGGTTGCCATTTCCTCCTCTCCAGGGGATCTTCCTGAACCAGAAATCAAACCTGCATCTCTTGCATTGGCAGGTGGATTCTTTACCACTCAGCCATCTGGGAAGCCTACCTCATTTCATATTCACTGAATAACCACAGCCATGTCCAAAATGTCTACCATCTTGGGAGAACTTCACACCCAAACAAACCCATTGGAGGGTGTGGCACTCTAAACCAGCAGTCACTTGACCTTTAAACCAAGGTCAAAGGTGGTTCCTGTTCCTTCTTAGAAAAAGAATGCTCCTTCTACATCGACAGACAGAGAAAAATCACCAGTAATCTATTCAAAACAAATCTTAAATAGGGTAACCACAGTGATGTCCTGGCTCCAATCAGTCAAAGAAACCTTTCAGCAGTGGTTCTTGGCTCATAATTACCCC